TTTTTTTTTTTTTGAACATCAAAGAAATTTGGAGGTAAGGGAATATTTTTTTCAAGTAATTGGTAGGAGTAAACTTTTTAATCTATTTGAATTCAAACACTTCAGCTTAGATGATGAACCAATAGAGCCAAAGGACTGATTCTAATACTCTAATTAGTTAGAGATTTATGTTTTGTAGTATTGTATATCAAAACTATAATTTATCTTATAAATTTATTAAAATATTTTAAATAAAATAATATATAATTTTATTAAACACATTTTAATAAATTTATATATAAACTACACTTTTAATATATAATTTACTTTGTAAAATATTTTTTAAAATTATTTATTTAAAATAAATTATGAAAACAACCAAACCAAACACCATTAGTTTTTTTTAATTGAAACACACTCTTAAACTTTGATAATGTTTTTTAGTCTTTTAATTTTTAATTTTTCTGTGTTTTTATTATTTTAAATATATATAAAATATTAATTATAATAAATAATAAATATATTTTATATATTTTTAAAATATTAAATAATCAACAAATTTTATAACTACAATTATATGTTACTACTGTCAAACTTAGTTATGTGAGAAAGGTAAAACTGCAAACCCAACTAAGCTTAGTGCACAATTGTATAACTAAGGAAAAAAATAATAATAATAATTTTTTATTTTTTATTTCATATAACTGGTATATTATACAATTTAAACTTAAAATTTTTTATTTTTTAATGAAATAAAGTAATTATTGAACTATTTAAATTGTTAATAATTAAAAAAATATTTAAACAAACTAATTAGTAGATTACATAAATTTCATGATCTAATAATTATATGTATACCAAACCCTAAAGTTGGGTTGGAATTTTCCTCCCAAAATTCTAATCCGTTTAAAAAAAAAAAAAAATCAACATAAGTTACTCACGAATTCTTTAGTTGGTGTGTGGCACTGTGGCTTGACTCTTGTTCATACGCGAAGGTGAAATTGTTCGCATGTGGGAAAAGCTAACAGCAATACACCCCGCCGCCACAAAATTATATTTCATTTATATTTTTAAGACGGAAAAGTGAAATTCAAAACCTATCAAGGGTAGTTATAAGGGTGTTTATCATAATTATTTATTAAATAAATTTTTAATTAAGATTTATTTAATACATTTTACTTTTTAAATCAAATAGCACCTTATTAGTTTGAGGTGCATTTTTTTAAATTCGTCTCTTGATAATTTGTTAAGAAAAAAAAAAATTTAACGAATGATTACGAAGTCCTGATATCAAGAAGTATTGGTTTCTTAGCTTTTACTTTTAAGAAAGTGTTTTGGAATGCAAATCATATGCTATTATAAAATGATAAATTATTACATTTTATTATATAATTTAAATACTAAAGCTATTAAAATATTATTAATAAAATAATACATTAACAAAGGGGTTAAATAAATTTATGTGTCACACCCGCAGCACTTGATGCAGTGGAAAGGGTGTGTATATTCCAAAGCTATGACCTTGGTTCTAATCCCCCCTCCCCCAAAATTCCCCTATGTTCAAAATAAATAAATAAATAAATAAATTTATGTGTCGAAAGAGAGAAATTAAATCACTTAGGATATGTAGATAAAAATTAAGTTTCACAAAGCAGTGTTCTTAACAACTAACTAATAAAAATTTAAAATATTAATTTAAATTCAAATTTTATGACATTTAAGGAAGAACTTGTAAAGGTAAGACTATATTATCTTACATTTAAAAAAAATTAAGTACTTAATTTTTATAAAAATAAAACAGTAATAAAGTTTAGAAAATCTAAGTAGACTCTGAAACGGCAGAAGCAGTACTATCCCCATATTGTATTAAAAAATAAAAAAAAAATATTCTTAAAATAATGGTGTAATAAATATATTTTTTAATAATTAATATATATAAAATAATAAATTTTAATTTAATTAATTAATTAAAATTATTTAAATGACAATAATATTAATATAAAATTTAAATTTAATTATTTTATTTAAATGAGTTATAAAAACATATTTATTACATTTTTAAAACATAAATTAGAAAAAAAAAAAGAAAAAAGAAAAAGAAAAAGAAAAAGTGCTGAAAATCTCTTTGTCATCATCTTCGGACAATCAGTTCAGTTGCGGTAAAAAGGTAAAAACCCGCACATGCCGAAAATCCCTGGCCAGTTACCACGATATCAATATCATCTACGTGGCTACTTCCTGTTAACTCACCCACTTCTGAGTTTCGGTAGTAATCCTAGATCCGCCCAGTGAGCAGAGTTCTGAACCGACACGTGTGCGTTTAAGGTTTTTGCGGTCGTCTTGATGAGGTTGAGCCAGACTGCAAGCTCAGGAGCGGCGGAGCCCACCCACAGACGGTAGCCGGTAAAAAAGAAAGTCGGGGAAAGCTATGGATGGAAATTGGAATAGAAACGTGGTGGGAAACTTTGTTTGGTAAAGGCGGTGGAAATTTTGGAAACGTACTTAAATGGAAACTGATATAAGAAGCACTAATACCTTTCTTGTCCTTGTATTATTATTATCATTTTTTTTCACTAATTTTTATTATTTAAAAATTATATTTAATCTTAATTAATTCAAAATTAGATCAAATCTTGTATAAAAAAAACCCTCTTAATATTTATTTTTTTATTCATAAAAACCAAATTCAAACTTTTATTTTAAAAAAATTTAATTTCTTATATCGAGCTAATAGGCCGTTGATTATATTATTTTTATATATAAAATGACATAAGTCATTAAGCTCAAGGTTGAAATCCCTGCTCAACCCTTTATTAGACAAAAAACTGTTATTAATATGAAACTTCGATTCGAAACCATAAGGTCTCATCCTTTCGAGTTTGAGTAAAATTTTCTTTTATAAGTTAAAATATTTGTTGTAGGAAAAATTTAAATTTGACTCTTGGAGTGATTAGTAAACAAGCTTTGAGAAAATTTATTAATCATGGTTTTATTTTTTTAAAATTCTTTTGCTGCACATTTGCTATGCACCAAATTAGTCATAAAAGAGAAATAAAAAATTAGCTAACTTGGCAAAGGAGTATAGTTTAAATCTCACATTATTGATAAAAAAAAAATCTACTAAAAATTGTGTACCTGACAATTTTAAAGAAAATTTATGTTTTAATTTTATTATTGATTGATATAGAAGATCGAACACAGGTTTTTTTTTTTTTTGAAGAAAAATTTTGCATATTAATAAGTTAGTAAATTTTTATTTTAGCATAAGTCATTTCTATTGACTATACATCTATTTACTTTTTTAGTTTCTTATTTTTCAAATTTCTTTAATATTTTCCATTTTTCATTCATATGATTTGCCACCAAACTGTATAAACCAATCTAGAAAGAAATAAGAAATTAATCAAATTACATTAAAAGAAAAAGAATTAACGATATTAATTAAAAATTGATTATAGATCATAAAAGCAGTAATTTCATAATTACTTGTCTCCACAAGTATGGATACATTTGAGCAAATAAAAAACAAAAAGTTATTGGTGTAACACTTATAGCAAATTAACCTTATCACAATGAAACTCTCCCCATTAATAAATTGGTTTAATTTTCTTTTAATTGAAATCGTTTTTGTTTCTTTCTTTTGGGTAAAAGAACTGAAAGCAATAAAAATCTGAAAAAAAATATATTAATCCTAAAATTGAATCAAGTTGAAGATGAAAAATTTAACAAACATTTAAAAAAAAGATCAATAAATAAAAATAAGAAAAAATAATAGTAAATAATATTGTTTTTTTACTCATACTAACATGTTTCAAATTTCATAGCTTGAGAGGTTAGAATTAATGAGAATAATTAAGGGCACAATTATCATTCCTGGCAAGAGCAAACTAAGCTAATACAGTAATACAGAAACAATCCAGGACAATACCATAATGTAACTCTAATTTATACGTTTTTAAAAAATAAAAAATTTTAATTGTTTATTACACTTTTCATTATTAATTTATATAAAAAAATACAAATTTATTTTACTTTTATTAATTAAATTACTTTATGAAATTTTAATATTAAAAATAAAATTTATTTTTTTATAATTTTTAATATAAATAAAAAATAAATTTTTTTTTTCATAACTATTAATAATAAAAATATACAATAAACACACTTAAAAATATGCAAAAAGAGAGGAAATACGATTACTAGGAGGAAAAGGGTTTGCTTTCCTGTCCACCGTCCCCTTATATACAGTATACTTTCTCCTCTCTTCTTCGCTGTCACAGAAGAGAGAGAAAAACCTCATCTTCTCTCTCTGAAAACACAATCTTCAATCTTTTTCATCTTTTCATATATATCAAAACAATCCCTTTTTAACTTATCTCGATTCAGCGGTATATCTTGCTGGGTCTTTCTCTGTTTTTTTTGATCGGACAGCGGTGATTTAATCTCGAAGTGAAAAGGGTTGAGGTATGCAGCAGGGTGATCAGACGGCGTTGAGCTTGAGACCTGGTGGTGGTCGAGGAGGCAGACTCCTTACTCCTTCTTCATCATCTTCTGCTACTCTTGCTTTCGGTTCCTTTTCTTCTGATCTTCCTGGCTTTCGACCTCATGGCGGTGCTGCTCCTCCTTTCTCTATTAGGGTAAAATAAAACCGTTTCTTCATTCAAACCCATATCCATTGTTTCCGGATCTACTCTTTTTATGTGTTTTTGTTTATGGGTTTTCGATAAGTTATGTTTTTGTAGTGGTTTTCTTATGTGGGTTGTGGCGTTTTGGTGTCCTAGATGTTTTCCTGCTTGATTTAGATGGGTTTTCTGCTCAATTTTTATTGGGAAAGCTGTTAGGTTCTGTTCTGGATTGAATGCTGACTAAGAGTGGATCACATGCTTGAAAAAATTTGATCTTTACTGATTACTTGTGGTTTTTGATTCTGCTGTTCGTTTTTCTGATCTAATTGTTACTGCTATAACCTTATAGAAATATGTATGCCTGAAGTTTTTGGGTTGGTCATTGGTGACTTGTGTTATTGAAGGATTTTATTTTTTGGGAAGACTTGTCTCCCATAAAATGTTTTTCTCCCGTGGGGAATTCTGAAAATTCGTGATGCGTTAGTCATATCTTCTGTGAATATAGGCACAGAACTGTATAGAGGGAACAATTAGAAATTATCTGAACTAGAAAGCCTCAATGTAGGTATAATTTGTAGTCAGGTTTTTCATTTAGTTACTTCAAAAGTTGCATGTTAAGGTGTTTTATTTATTTTGCAGTCTTAAAGATGATCAATCTATTTGTTTTTCTCCTTTCGTAGGCTGGAGACTCACGGTTTGAGGGTCGTGAAAGTGTGCAGTACTCAAAAGAGCAACTTTTGCAGCTTAGAGAGGTATTAGTTTAAATTTGTGCTGGTGGTGCATGCATAGAAACATTGATTGAAAGAAATTACCACTCTTAGCTCGTGAGCTTTAGTAGTTATTTTTATTTGCTAGGGTAGACTTTGAATGGAAAGTTGAAAGTTAACGGTTTAAATTTATGTTTCTAATAAGGGCACACGTCATTGATTGGAAAGATGAATGACATTTTCCAGGAATAATGGTAAAAGATGTGGGCAGTTAGAATAAGGGTTTCCATATGCTGAATTTCCATGACACATGTTATCTTTTATTATGGCTGTTTGCTGTCAGTATTCTAATGTGCATGAGACATTTGTTGCAATTGCTTGCATTGAAATTATGATATCCCATGCTTGGTTTGATTATGCTGCTTGTCTTTTCTTAGGGCATTGATGTATCTGATGATATCCTAAAAATCAAACAAGAAATTGAAGCTGAACTCTTTGGTGAAGACCAAAACTGGGGTCGTGGAGAAAGCAATGTAAGTTGAAGTTCCCAGAATATATTTTTTCTTGCATCATATGCCTTTTCTATTCACCAGTGCTTACAAATTTAATTCTGATATGAATTTGATTGTTTGTCTTTCTCTGGCTCAATGAAGTTCATATATGTTAATTCATACTATGTCTGGCCTTTTGAAATCATCATGTTTTTGTATTTATTTTCTTTCCCTCGTTTTAAACTTTTTCTAGCCATCAAACCAAACCCAGAGTCGCTATTCTGAGCCAGACAATCGTGATTGGCGTGGCCGCTCAGCTCAGTATCCTTCTGGAGAAGAGAGGTCTTGGGAATCTCTTCGAGACAGGGAATTTGGTAGCAGACAAGAAGCAAACCGGCAAGACCAGCTCAGCTCCCAGTTCTCTAGAACACAAATTTCTTCTAACCAAGGGGTAATTGATGAAAATAGATTCAATTTATTTTGTGTTTCTGGTGCCTTCTTCTGCTCTTTTAGTTGTTTATATTTATTTTCCAAGTTGAATTTCTTGAGGGGATAGTATATGTTGGTTGTTTTCGCAGATATCAATCTGTATCTCATGCATAAATTTTCTGATATGATGTTCTGATCTCTTTAGCTAAAATTGCATTCCAAGTTCTTTCTTTGCTTGTGCAATACTACAATAACTAGTTTTGATATTTGATTTATTATTTGATTTGCCTTCCGTTCCATTCTTCTGTGGCCCCTTATTTGTCTTCATCCTCAACTCCTCTTTTTCATTTTTCTAATCAGGGAGGACCTGCTCCTACCTTAGTGAAGGCTGAGGTGCCATGGTCTGCCAGGAGAGGGAGTATTTCAGATAAAGAACGTGTTTTGAGGACTGTTAAAGGGTAATCTGTTTTAGATGCTTAGTTAATTCCTCATTGTGCATGAAAATTAGTATTTGATCTCACATTCATGTCTTTGATTTTTACTGATCAAATTAGAGCATTGATTGTAGCCTGCTGTCTTTTATCAACAATCATGATCATGTATGGTCAAGTTGCTAACACAAGTCATATCTGTTAGCTCAAAAAGTGTTAAATTTAACAAAAAAATGCTAATTTGCGGAGTTTATCTCCACTTTGCCTCATCTGATTGCTCTGTATTTTAAAAGGTATATTGGACCTGCAAGGCATTGATTTCCTTTTTTGACATAAGCTTTCTGGTTGTATCTGATACTTAACTATCATTGGAAATCCCTTTTTTTTTTTTTTTTGTTCTTATCTCAACAATGGCACCGAAGAGTATGTAGTGAGCTGATTGGATTTCTTGAAATTTTGATTGGTTTTGTTTGCTATGCAGGATACTGAACAAGCTGACTCCAGAGAAGTATGATCTTCTTAAGGGCCAACTTATAGATTCTGGCATCACATCAGCTGATATCTTGAAGGTTATTCCCTTTTAGATTACTACAACTTCTTGTCTAGATTTCTTGTTCTATTCTGGTTATTACACATATCATTGAACTCACTAAACATTTGCTTCAGGATGTTATCTCTCTTATATTTGAGAAGGCTGTTCTGGAACCTACATTTTGCCCCATGTATGCTCTTCTGTGTTCTGATCTAAATGATAAGCTCCCTTCGTTCCCATCTGATGAACCTGATGGCAAAGAAATCACATTTAAGAGAGTCCTCTTGAATAACTGCCAAGAGGCATTTGAGGGTGCTGATAAGCTAAGGGAAGAAGTGAGGCAGATGATTATTCTGGAGCAAGAGATGGATCGTAGGGATAAAGAAAGAATGGTCAAGCTTCGTACGCTTGGAAACATCCGTTTGATTGGGGAGCTTCTGAAGCAGAAGATGGTACCTGAGAAGATTGTGCATCACATTGTTCAGGTTAGTGCCAAATTTCCACTTTTGTCTTTGATCATTTAAACATTGAATTGTGTTTTATTTCAAGGTTTCTCATCTTCACCTGCTATGTTAACAGGAGCTTTTGGGCCATGATACTAAAGCTTGTCCTGCAGAGGAAAATGTTGAAGCTATTTGTCAGTTCTTCAACACTATTGGTAAGCAGCTGGATGAGAGTCCAAAATCCAGGCGGATAAATGATATGTACTTTAACCGATTGAAGGAATTGACTACAAACCCTCAATTGGCTCCGCGACTGAGATTCATGGTTCGTGATGTTCTTGATCTCCGTGCAAACAACTGGGTTCCCAGGCGTGAGGAGGTAGCTCAAGTTCCATCACTTGTTTTATCAAGACAAATATGTATGTCAACTAAACTAGGTTTTAATCTTTTAGTGTTCCCTTTCACACTTTGTTTTTGCAGGTAAAAGCCAAAACAATCACTGAAATCCACTCTGAGGCTGAGAAAAATCTTGGACTGCGCCCGGGTGCTACTGCTAGTATTAGAAATAGTCGTGTTGTTCCTGGCAGCCCAGTGAGTCCTGGCCCTGGTGGTTTTCCTGTTTCTAGACCTGGTTCTGGGGGAATGATGCCTGGTATGCCAGGAACTAGGAGAATGCCGGGGATGCCTGGAATGGACAATGATAATTGGGAGTTCCCTAGGACACGGTCAGCGCCAAGGGGTGATGGTTCATCTGTCCAGACTGGAGGACGCAATCAGTCACCTATGATCAATAAATCTACTTCAATGAACTCTAGATATTTACCTCAGGGTAGTGCTGGCCTAATTAGTGGGAAAACAAGTGCCCTGTTGCAGGGCAGTTCTGCTCCTCCTCCTAGGCCTGCCAACTCCATTTTGGGTGCAGAGCCTGTATCCCAAGTACCACTTGCTGCTAGACCTGCCCCTGCTGCTGCTGTTGCTATGCCTCCAGTTATGGAGGGATCCCAAGGAAATCCAGATGATCTTCGGAGAAAGACAATCGCCCTTTTGGAGGAATATTTTGGTATTAGGGTATTGGATGAAGCACTGCTGTGTGTTGAGGAACTAAATTCTCCGTCTTTCCATCCTGAGGTTGTCAAGGAAGCTATCTATCTTGGCATAGAAAAAAGTCCACCTTGTGTTGAGCCGGTTGCAGAACTTTTGGAACACTTGCTTAATAAAAAGGTTCTGACAACTAGAGACATAGGGACTGGATGTATGCTCTATGGTGCCATGCTGGATGATGTTGGCATTGATTTACCAAGGGCACCCAATAACTTTGGAGAAATGATTGGGAAACTAGTTTTGGCTGGGGGATTGGATTTTAATGTGGTGAAAGAAGTTCTCAAGAAGGTGGAAGACGACGGGTTCCAGAAAGCTGTATTTGATGCAGCATTAAGGATTATCAATGCTAGTCCTCTCAGGCAAGCTGTACTGGATGCAAATGCCTCCGCGATTGAAGCCTGCAAGAGTCTATTCTAATTAGCATAGCTTTTCTCTGAATGGGAACTTTACATCTATATCCACAAAGCACTTACCATGCTTAAGTCAACTTCTTCACAGTTCCCCCTACCATTGTCCCCTTTTTTGAGGCAAACAACTTGGTATTATTTTGATAAGGTGGGGCTGCCAAGAACAGGTAATATGTTTTTTTTCTTCTTATGAGTTGTATATTTTTCCGAGGTCATAGCTGTGTGTTTATTGAGAAAAAAAAAATATTTGAACACCATAATGCCATGGATTTTGTTCTTGAGCATGGCTCATCATATGCCAAATTGCTCGAGCAGACCGGCCCTGCCCTTTTGTGGGTTCCGGTTGTTTTGTATTTGATTAGATTTTGTTATCATTTTTTCTCCTTTCTTTCTGTGACTCAGTAATTTAGTTTTTTTTACCTCAGTTCATAAATCCCTTGTTTTTCTATTGTCTTTCCAGTCCACAGATAAACTGAAGTGGATTCATAATGTTGATTGTTGAACTTTGTATTTCCTTTTATACTGTTTGCCTCATCATTTCCCTTAATTTTTAGCTTCAAAATCAGAATCTGACAGTAACTAAAAAGGGAAGGGGGATTTTTAGGTCCACTTGTAAATAAGTGTATGAATGATTATGAAAAGATTTAAATATCATTGGTGAATCAAAAGAACTTAAATAATAATTTTTAAACAATAATTTCATGGGCATACGAGGCATTTTTTCATGTATGTTAACATGAAAAATTGAGAACATTTTTAGACTTATTGCATTTGAGGGTTTTTGTTTCTCGCAATGCTTTTTCATGTCTCACTAAAAATATTAATTAATTATACTAAAATTAATTTTAATTAATATTTTGTACAATTTAATAGTTATAATAATATATAAGATTGGTAAAAAAAAATGATATATAAGATTTTTTTAAAAGTAATTAGATAATTGCACAAATTTTCTCATAATGAAAGTACATAATAAGTCTGGGCTACCATATTTTACATTAATCTCCAACGTGATTTTAATAAAAAAATTTTTAATTTATTGAATTTCCAATTAGTTTGTGGGTTAACAAAATCTTTATGGGCAAGGCCGTAAGGGCAATAACCTCAGCCTTCGAAAACAGGAAAACTTATAGTGGCCCAAGCCTATAAAATTTAGATCCGAGCCCAAAAAGGGTAAGGGCAATAATCTCAGCCTTTGGAAACAGGATAACTTATAGCGGCCCAGGCCTATAAAATTTAGATCCAAGCCCAAAAAGGCTGGCATTTTGGAGGCCGAAGGGCACCAGAATCAATCAGGATATATAAGGATATTGAGCAAAATTCCGAAATCTCCCGCGCGTTTCCTTTTCTCTGCAAAAGAAATGGGCGCAAGCGAACAAGATACTGTAATGGCAGACTCCTCCAACGATCAATCACTGAAGCTAGCAGTTGCTATTTCCCTTCTCCGATCAAAGATCCTCGAGAAGCAGCCTCCTCCGTCCTGTCCTCCATCCGAATCCGACGCTCTCCGGTGGAAACGAAAGGTTTTGATCTCCTCACTCTTAGCTCGCATTTCCTTTGGATTACAGACAGATAAAACGATTAGAGTTTTCTTTTCTCGAATTCCGTTTGGCGATTTGTATTTTCTTCGTTTTGTTTTATTTTTTCTCAGCAATTTTCCTTTGATCCATATTTAGGCAAAGGAGCGAAAGCAAGAGCTTCTGAGACTCAGAGAAGATCTGAAGGAAGCTGAAGGTTCTTGTTCCATTTTTTTCCTTCCGTTTCTTTTCGTGTTCCTTTGGTTGTTGATGAAGCTATGAAGAAATGTGTTGTGTAAGCGTTGTTTTTGTCATGTATAGATGCTTCGCAGTGTGATCTCTTCCCGCAAAGTGCTTCCTGCAAGTGCTTTTTCTTTGATAGTTTGGGGAAATTTAGCTCTAAGCCAGATGGAGATGCTTCTGATTGCAGATTCAATGATGTGCTTCGCCGCAGATTTCTTAGACAAGGTTTTATTAACATCACTATCCTTCTTCTATTCAGCTATATCATTTTGTTTCAGAGTTTATTTATTTATTTATTTTATCATGCAGTTCGATTTATGGAAAGAAAGAGAGCATCTGGTTCAGCTACAAAACGGCATTATTTAGGTAAAACTTAATCTGGTATCTCTACCTCATTATGCCTAATTTTTTTATACCAAAATTGATAAAAAAAAATGGATATTCATGTAAATTATGGTGTTCTTTTCATTGGAAGGTTCCTTGATAGAATTTCTAGTTTAAACTGCAGATTTTAACAGTGAGGATGAATTAGAGCAGCTGAGAGCCGCTGTTGATTTTCTTGTGGAACTTTGTGATACAACTCCTGTTAGAGTCAATTCATAACCTGTACACCATATGTAGACCGCTGTGTTTTATTTCCATTTCTTATTTTCTGTTATCCTTGCAGGTCAAGGACTCTAAATTTACAAATTGGTCTCACCAAGCTGTGGACTTCATTTTAGGTAGTGATTTCAAGTGCTTTTATTAAGTGAAGCTCATCTGAACTCGGAGCAGGTGGTTTATTTATAACCATTTCCCTCTTGAAACAAGAATTTATGGACAAATACCTCTCTCAATCCATGAAATTCAAGCTGCCTATTCCTTGTGCATAATATAAGTGTAGATAGTTGTCTGTTGCAATTGGTGTTAACTGAGTTCAATTTAATAGATATAGGTTTCTTATTTTAGTTTTTCCTACGTTGCATTCAACAAGTTTGCATTAACTAGAGATTTACAGGCTACAGTGTGGTGTGTATTAAATGATTTATATTTCATGAATTCGTAATAGCGACAGGAGAAGTATGAGACATGAGAAGGGGGTGAGATACATGACATGTTAATGAGCACATGCAAGCAAGTTAAAACCTGTTTGACCTACAAGTTTGATAACATTCTGCTTAGAATTCTGATACCAAATTATTAGTTCATGGTCACTATTAAGGGGCTGATTGATTGTTGAAGGTAGAAGGTTGAAAAGAGCCTAATTCAAGGTTATGATAACCCATGTTTGATGATTCAGTAAAACCTAGATTAAATTGGGTGGCACATATTACAATTTCATTAAGCAAGAAAGCAAGTTTAAAAAAGTTATTGCATATGGTATGCTACCTCTGAAGTAGTTGGGATGTTTGACCTTGTTTTTGTCCAAGGTAGTTTTAAATTGAAGACTAATGAGCCATTCCATGTGCTCCTTTCTATGAGTTTCCTCTCACATCGCTGTTGCACATAGGGACCATTTCTTTTCTGTGTCAGCTAATAATCTGTAATTCATAGTGCCTAATTTGTCAACACTGACTTTCCTTCCTTAATCATTTTCTTCAAGTATCTTTGAAGAATCTGTTATCAATGGGCAAGAACCCGGAACTCATTGAAGGAATTATTAACAGCTTAATTATGCGTTTGGTTAGAAGGATGTCTTCCCCCTCAACAGGTGATGACAAATAATCCAATTGCAATCAGATTCTAGTAAGAGATTTTTTGTAAGTTTATGGGCTATATTCTTTTCCAACTATCATCACACATTTCTCCCCCTTAATTGGTTGTCTATTTCTTGTTGTTTGCAATATCCTGTTTCAGAATCCTTTCAAGCCATCGCTGATTCCCCATTCTACATTCAACACACAATCCGTAAGCTTGGAAGTGAGCCATTCATTGGACAGCGTGCAATACTTTATGTTTCTCAAAGAATATATGCCCTCACAGAAAGTTTGCTGTTCTCGGATCCATTTGAGGAAGCTTTTCCTACAATGCATGAGTGTATGTTTTCAATGTAAGTGGTATTTAGTTAGATATTTGCAAGAACTTATGACTTATCTGATAGACTGATACCCTATTACTACTTCCTAACTGTTAGCATTTGGTGGCCGAAGGCTCATTACTCTGTCGGTAAAATTGTTCTTTTGTTAGCTATTATTGATTACTTTTTCTTGTTCTCTACTTAATTTATTGAGTATATATTTTTTGAAATTTTGCTACTAGGACTAAGTTACTTTAATTTGATTTTTCCAGTGAACTGAAATAGCATATTTCCTCCATGTAACAAAATGCTAAAGATGAATGTTCTCGATCTGGAAGCTTTAAAGAGCCTAGGGTTATTAGGGTATTAAGTATTAGTTTTATACAGCAAGAGTATTAGTCAACTATTCACGGGGTTTCTCATTCTAGTTCAACATTTATTGCCAAGTACATTTCTTGACATGTTTCCACTGTCAAATGGCATCATAGGTAATTGTTTGGATGTCTTATGTGCCTCCTAATTAGGGTATCGTGACATATTGGTGCTTGTCACATGTAGTTATCATCACCAGACTAGATCATATACAGCAGTACTGCAGATGAATTTGAGATGTCAATACACATCTTTCTGTGCCATTTTAGCAGCTCTGTTTTTTTTGTTGCTGTGGCTGACAGGATCCAGCTTATTGAGTTTTTGATATCCGACTACCTTTCAACCTGGTCACAGGATGAAGGCTTTGACAACAGTAAGTAAAGTAAATGTTTTAGGGTCATGTCAGTTTACTTCTAAGATTGTTCTTACACTTGTTTAATTTTACCGATCCTGCTAGGCTTCCTTTTGACAAAGTTACATTGTCTATAGCTAAGGACAACTATGAAAAATAAACAATCACAACATACCTCATTAACTTTTTAATGTGTAAAAAAACTAATATCTTTAACATAGATGATCTGGAAATTGACACAAGATCTTGGCATTGCAGTTCTCTTTGAAGAGTGGGTGACATCAGTTCTACATGCACGGAAAGCTGTCGAACTTCTAGAAAGCAGAAATGGTCTCTATGTGCTATACATGGACCGGGTAACTGGGGAATTGGCTAAACTAATCGGCCAGGTTTCTTCTCTCCATATGCTTAATCCAGATATTCTTGATAACCTTTTTGGTTAGCGTCTTGTAGTCAAAGACCTCAAGGTATTTCCCTTATTGACTATTTTGAAAGGTAAAAAGCAAACTATAAGCATCTGAGTCAAATCTCTTCACCATTGAAAGAATGAGCATATTCTTGTGAGTGCTGAGTAATGGGGTTATCATTCAGAATTACATTGACGATTTCTGCCTGTATCTAGCCAATTTAAATCCTATCTCTATCTCCTTATTTGACTGTCCATGCCACCGGTGCATTTGACGTTGACTCTTACGATTTCCTTCAAATGGTATACACAACATAGACTCCCTTTTTCTTTTGCTTTTTCTTTTTCTTTTTCTTTTTTTCTAAATTGGCAGTCCGACCTACCCGCTTTTTTAATGGTCAATATACCACCTTTGAAAAATCCAATCAATTTGCCAGATGACGACCCTTTCTCGCCACCGTTATTCTTATAGGAGAAACCTCATGTTGCTCCATTTAGAAATTATTTCCACTTGCTTACATGTCTCATAGACTCAATACTCTGCTTCTCCAATTCTATAAGCTTGATCTTGAAATCAATCAGACGTGACACCCCTGAAATTGGTTCTTGCTTTCTCCCTTATCACCGTCTTCTTGTTCTCTCAATCGCCTCCTGCTTCAGCTCATCAGGAAGGCAGTCTGGTTCCATCCGGTCAGCAGCCTTCTGTGGGCACAGAAAAATTGGCAGCTGACAGGGACACGGATTCCTTTGGAAACAGGAAGCTCCGGATTTGCATGAGGAAGAGAATCCGCCCCAGTGGAATAGGAACTCGTGGCAGAACATCATCGGCTGTGCGAATCCGATTGTCTTCCTTCCATGTTGCTTCTGTTCTTGGTTATTCGTTCTTCTTTGCTTTCCTCCTATTGTAATATCCCCTTTTTCTTTTTCCTTTTAGTGAATTGTGAGATAAGGAAGTTAGTATATTTGGGTATGGTGAAGGTATAAATTTCGAATCCTAAAATTAAGAAATTTAAGTTACCAGTGAGGTTAAATAGTGAGACTTCTTTTTAGGTTGAATTTAAACCTTAAACTTGAAATTTCAGGTATTTAATCATTAGAGTTATACCTTTTGTAAGTATTTTTAGTTTTGTACATTTGATGATATATTATAACTGAAAAATGAATTGTTGAAAACAAGATTTCTATTTACTTTTTTTAAACTGGTATGCTAGATAATATTTGTGATTCGAATGGATATGTTACAATGAAATATATTAGATTTTTAATGTTTATGAATGATAATGCTTAAATATTGATCATATAAAATAAAGTAAACATTAAAAGTAAATGTCAAATACTTTGTAATTCTCCAACATATATATCGATGTTCTCTAGTAAAGGACGATAGAAAAACTATTCATTTGCACATATATTTCTTTTTCAACTTGATTTAAAGCATCCTCTACACTTTTATATAAATCTCTTCTTAATTATATAACTTAAGTATTATCTTGACATAATTATTATTTTTTTATCAGCTTCTTGACATAATTAATTGATCAACCAATAATAGAAGTTGTTGCTCCAAAAAAAAGAAAAGAAAGAAAAAGAAGATAGAAGCCAACAATGAAAGATAATAAAATCATATGAAATTACATTTAATTGGAGAAGAGTGAAAAGTAGCAATTCGTCAAATAAATAGGTTTAAATGAAAAAAAAAAAAAAACCAAACAAACTCTTTTTTTTTTTTAACAAATTGTTAAGGGGCAGGCTCGAAGTTCGTCCATGAAAAAAAGGAAATGTACCTCAAGTTGACAGAGTGTCAGTTAACCTGAAGTGGCAAGTGCAACCAAACAAACTTTTTACCTTGTAATTGTATTGAAATACACATTTCTTCAAGTTTTACATTTAGGAATAGCAATGGGACCTTGCAGGGCTGGGCAGAGGACCCTCGTCCCCGTCCCCATCCCCATCCCCATCCCCACCTATGGTAGTGTGGCGAATTTTGGCAGGTCAAATTTGTCATCATCTTTGTTACCAATGTGGATTATCAAACTCCTATGAGAATTCCCATTCCGCACCATGAAATATTAAAAATTTTAAAAATTATAGATCTAAAGAAAAATATATTAATTATTTAGTTTTTTTTTTCGTCATTTGATTTAATTATTTTTTTTATTAATTTAAAATTAAAATATTTAATAAATTAGTTTTTTAATAGATTTTAAAAATTAATTTTAATTAAACATGAGCAATAATTTTGGGTTGAGTATTTAAATTTAATATTTAAAAAAAATGGTGTTATAGGGATAATCTTTTTATCTCACATTTTTATATAACTTTCACATGTTATTAAATAAGTTGATACATTCAATATCACGTGT